ACAAGGAGTGCAATCATTATGTAATACAAACACATAGTAGTAAGAAACTGAAAAAAAAGAGAAAAATCCACATCAACATTATAAAGTCCTGTTTGATCTGGTCTCCACTGGCTTTCATATCTCATTTTTCTAATTTTCCATTTAAATTTCTTTCTCTGATTGCCTCCTCACTGCTAGACATTGTACACACTCTTTACTACCTCTGGAATGCTCTTTCCTACTTTACCCCTCTAATTCACACTTAATGTTGACTTCCTCAGAGGCAGTTTCCCTGATCTTGAATCCAAATTAGTTTTCTTTGTATGTGCATTTGTGTATGTATATATGTATCTATCGATGTCAGCCATAACAACTGTGTTATAAATTACATGCAAGTAGGAGCCATATCTCCTTTGTTTACTTCTGTCTACCCGGGTCTAGCATTAAAGCCTAGCATAGGCTGCAGCAACAGAGGTGCTTTGTGTATAGCAGTGACCAGACATTAACACACCACCTTGTACACAGCCTGCTCTGAATTTGCTTTCTCTTGAGGATATGTACTTCTTTAGAATTTGTGCCTTAGGCCTCCCCTTTGCCCCCCCTGTATTCCAAGTGCTTCCTGGCAGTGTCTAAAACATGGGTCAATATTATTTCCTTGTAAAAAATTAAGTTTATTGATACATTTTAGGTACACATGATGATTTCATTCATCATAGGGAATTTGTACTGGTGTATGATATAACGATTCTTGTTTTTTTTTTTTTTTCCATTCCCCTTTCCCCTTTTAAATCCCTCCTCACCTTCTTATTTACAAAAACTTCATTTCCATTTTTCCTCTTTTTTGTTTAATATAATTTAATAAGGAAATGACAGAATGCCTGTCCCTATACTCAGAGTCTTTTAGGTTGACTTTGATTTGACAATTAAGGCTATCCAAATAGCTTACTAGTCTGGGCACTCTTAATGAGAGTGCTACCAGAAGAACATAAAGAAAGATGAAAAATGACAGTCAAGGAAGCATTTATTGTTGCAGCCAGGCCAAGTTTTCCCAGTGCAGAGGTTCTGGTTGATCTTGTTTGTTACCCCTACTCCAGCTGGAAGGTCTCAGAAGGCCTCGCTCCCGTCTCAGCTCCAAGTCACATGGTCCATACCCTGTAGGCCCAAGTGCTGTGTGGAATTGAGGCCTTAGCACATATGGGGAAGACGGGGCCCTGCCTCCTGCATGGGGGCCACACATGCCAGCTCTTGAATTCAGAGAGTGCAGCTCGGAGGAAATGTGCCCTAACCAGAATCCAAAAATTTGACCAGTTGGATCAGTCTTCCCTATGTGGAGATGGAGACGTGAGGAAGGTTTTAGGAAGAACAACAAAGGCTAATCCCATATTAAATATTACATATTTATAAAGACTGTTCTTTTGCTAGCTGAGAAAAAGTCAAGGTGTTGCCTGAGGCCTTTAAATTTCTAACATATCGAAGAAAATTCCCCACAACACCTAATCTTTATTGAAATGTATTAAATCAATCAATATTTAATTCAACAGGCATATTCATTTGGCCTGTGATCCACATGGTTCCTTCAGGTAGTGGGCCCAGCCTGCCACTTCAGGGCATCTCTAAGCACATGCTTCTCTTTGTATTTGGCTGAGTGAAGATGAGTGGGATCAGAAGAGTTGTGAGGACACAGCTCAGGACAGAGTTGCCTTCCTTGAGCAGCACGGATTGAGCCTCTAACTACAGATGCAGAGCAAGATGGGGCCGCCATAGACAAAGCCCCTGCAAGATGTGAGGTGCAAATGGAAAAATGCTTTATTTTGGTTGGCAGCCTGAGCAGCCTGCAAACAACAGCAAGTTTGCACGCACAGGAAACCAAGCCGCCTCATGAGGGTAATGAAGAGAAGACAAAACCCCTCAGCTCCAGCACATGCCTGTACCCAAAAGAGAGCCAGATGTCATCAGCAAAGTAGTCAGTTCCATTGGGGACCCGGAGTGGTGGGCTGGCCAGGACTCATGGTGGGATAAAGCGCCCAGTGGGATCCTACCAAAGGGGAGTCCAACACTTATTTGGCACAGATGTAATCACTCATCAGGGTCTCAGAGTCGAAATGTTGGCAGATCACCAGGTAACAGTTCAAGATGAGACGACTAAGCGTCATTGGTTGTATAAGGGAAGGAGGGCCAGGCTTGCATGCGTAATTGGTGAATGAGATGTGGTCTTCTGTAAGGGTGACGACAGGCATCTTGGCAACGAATCTGAAAACAGCATCTCCAGGAATGATGTCGTCTACAAGATTAAGCAGGTCTGTCTTCAGGTAGTGGGCCATACAACTAAGCATAATAATTAGTGGGCTCTTCCAGTGTAGGTCCCTGTCAACTTGGATCATTGCAGGATGTGGACAATGAAGAGGCTCAGGAGGATAAAGTCTTACTTGAGTTTAGTTTCCAGAGTTTGTCCTTAACTACCTGCTGAGAGAAATGAAACTGAATTTGTGAATGGTCAATAGATCTCGATCATCATTTAGTCAATCAATAAAATTATATTAGGCATATAACATTTCCTTACTTTCTGATAATACACTGATACGTATTTCTGCCTGAAATTAGTACACAAAGAGGGATAGGAAGCAGGATAATAATAATATGGATGATGTTAAACAGTAGCTCCTTTCCCAGCCTCCCCACCTCCTCCTTTGTTTTTGAGACTAGGTCTCATTAGGTAGTTCAGGCTGGCTTTGAACTCACTAGATAGCCCAAGCTTGTCTCAAACTTGCATTGATCCTCCTGCCTTGGTCTCTCAAGTGCTGAGATTATGGTCATGCATGACCATGGTCAGTCCCAGCTTCCCTAAGTAGGTTTTACTGTTCACATAGATAAGAAAAGGAAGTTTAATTAATTCTTCTCAGGAGCACATGGCAGAAGCAGTTCTATGCTGAGCCTCTCAGACTCCAACTTTCATGATGCTGCCATGGTTTAACTTAAGCAGAGAGCCACATATTTTAGGGGAATTTGTGGGGGTAGGAAGAGTGGAGAAGATCTCAGGGAATAAATTCACCATGAGAAAATTTCATATATGTTAAGAACTCTTGCTTGAATATTTATGGCCCTAGGAGTCTTGGTTTAGTATAAAATACCAGAAAAGAGGTTTGGCTTTTAGTGTCTTTAGAGAGTTTATTTCATTAATGAATCTAAAAGTAGTATGGCACTGGATCACACATAGCTCCACTTGTGACACAAGTGTTATTTGCCTTCCTGTACACTTCTGTAGATTACAAAAACTCTCTTTTTCTAGTGTCACTGACCCAACTCTTCTAATGTTCTAATGCCATAAAATGGGGGTGAGAAATGATACAGAAGGAGACAGAATGCCTCCACTTACCTTCCTAGCTTTTAACTTAATTTAGAGATATGTTGATTTTGTCCTCTGAGTTTTTGGCATATTGTAAAATTCTCCTACATATTTGAAGGACTGGGTTTCATTAGACAACTTTTCTCACACCTAACACCACATATTCAAAACTACATGGTTTCTTCTATCAATGAGAGGAAATATAGAAAATATAATATGAGAAATGAAAATTACCATCTAGTTATTTCATTTAATTGCCAAATAATAAGATGTTGAGAACTTGGACAAGGTTTATTTGGGACCACCTATTAGTCCAGACAACCGGTGTTAAAGAGGAGGTACACAGCCATTTTCTCAATGCTGGATGGAGCCAATTTAACAAAGAATACTTGCTAAGGTAAGGAACCCTGATTCCAAGGATGAAGATGACAAACAGTCAAAGGGATTCTCTATTGACATTACCTTTGGTTGTTATAAAATGGATGCACCAGAATGTGTCATCTAGCCTTCCCTTCCTTTAGCAGTTAATCTAAAAAATTAATCTTAAGTCTCCAAATATTTTCAATAATTGACTACCAGCATCTCATATAAATCTAAACATTAGTAAAATTATCCTTGTACGTATGTGTTTAAATTTTTCAATAAATTAAAAAATAGTGTTAGTATATGTCTATAGTACAAATGATTACATTTGTGTTGAGAGTTGGTCCATGTACATATTACATATTACATCTTAATTCTTTTTCTCTTGCTCACATTTCTTGCTCCTCTATTTGTAAAGAAGTCCATCTCCCTGTTTCCTATTATATATATTTTATTTTGCTCTTCTTTTATATTTTGGATTTCTCCTATAAAAGAAACCATGGAAATAATATTTGTCATTTTGAGCCTCAGGATAATTTTGTTGGTTGGCTCCTTTAAAGTCTAGGATAACTTATCTAATATCACGCAGTTACAGATTATACTGTTGTTGCAAATGAATTTTTGTTCAGCATTTTGCACTGAAATGTTTTGTGAAAGCAAAGGGAATTAGAACTATAAGGGACACACACTTTCATTTGCTTTATATAATTTAATTTACACAACTATATGGGCTATTATCGTCTAATACACAACTGGGAAAATTGGATTTACAATTTGGATATAAAATGTCTCCCAAAGGTTCATGTGTTGAAGACTTGAAGGAGATTGGATTGAGAGTGCTTTAGATTTAGCAGGCAGTAATCACTGACTGGATGGGGGGTTTGGTGGTAGAACATAGTTGAAGGGAGTGTGTAATGGGGGATGTCTTTGAAGGCTCTGTCTTTTTTTTTACTCTCTCTCTCTCTCTCTCTCTCTCTCTCTCTCTCTCTCTCTCTCCCCTTCCCTCTCCTTTCTTACTTTAATGATGTGAGCTATTTTCCTTTATTACAACCTTTCAACACATTGATTCTGCTTCACCACCAGCTTAAAAATAGTAGGCCCAGCCACATATGGACTGAAACCTCTAAAGCTATCAGCCAAAATAAGCCATCCCTCTTTTAAATTGCTGTTTTCATATATTTTGTCAGAATGATGAAAAGCTGAAGGAATACTGTAACACACAATAGGTCTAAAAAGAATATCTCAGAGCTAGGGTTTATGTTAATCTGAACCAGGTACCTGATCATGGCACTGCTGCTTTATATGATCATGAAACATGGAACTTATGGTTTTTTTTTTGTGGAACCAGGGATTGAACTCAGGCCCTTGTGCTTGCCAGGGAAGTGCTTATTCTACTGAGCCATCTCCCCTGCCCCTAACCTATGGGTTTTGAATATAATATAATGGCTTGTGATAATAATACCGATGAAAACTCCCAGCTTTCCCAAAGATGATCCATAAAGCATGGGGAGAGGATCAAAAGCTACAAAGCTGAATTGTTTTAAATAAGAAAAGAGATAATAAAAAGATCAAATTAACAATCTGCTCAGTGAGCTCAAAAAAGAAACAAATATTTTTTAAAAATAATTTTATTAGAAACAAAAAGCAATGAGAGTTTCAAAACCAATTACTAGTACAGTTTCAATAATTAATATATTGCATATTGTTGTCTTAGTAGTTATTCATTGTACAAGATGAAGACATGATATCCTGTCCACAAACTCTACTAGAACAAATCTCTCTAATCATTGAATTAAGAGAATGCAGCTGTATATCTATCCTAACTATTTTGAGTATACAGATACAAAATGGTCATTCATTTGTATCTCTCTTTTTTGTATAATTTTGTCAGAGAAGGACATTCCATTGTTATTTAAATATTGTAGGTGGGTTAATTCAGCAAAATATTCCAATATAGTCCAGTAGTCCATAGCAGTAGTGAGTTTTCTGTAAGACTGGCAATGTCAGAAGTTGTTGACTTGAGCCTTTAACAGTTCAGCATAATAATATGGCTTTACATTTTATACTTCGTTTTTATACTTTTCTGCTGGATGGTTAAGATCAAGATAAAGCAAGACCTATAAACAAGAAATATAACTTTTGTATCTGATAAGGTCAGTCAAATCCCCTCAGGATTTATCCTGAAACCCTGTACCACAGTTTGTAGATCCTTTGTCAGTGTCAGCCATGTGGATCAGTCACGGCAATTGCTTGATCAATTTTCTCTCCATAAAAACCTGAGAGAAATTTTCTCTTTTTGTGACTCTCCTTAGGCACACTCTACATCATTGATTACTTTCTTCTGTGGCCCTATAATCTTGATCAGACAATTTGGGACACAACTGAGTTATATGATGTTACACTACAGGATCTCCTATGTCCTGAGTCTTCACTGAACTTTGGCTAGGGCCAAAATGTTGGCTGTTCTTGCAGCCCTTCTTTTTCCTCTAATTTTTGGTCTGTAAACTTAGGTTGTTAATCTTCCAGAAGAGAAGCTCATTATTATTACCCTACAACGCAGGCAGTTGAGCTTAACTTCACTATTTGTCTGAGTATCAAACATCTTAGGCGTAACATGGAACAGGTATTTTCCATCAAGTATTGATATAATAAACTTTAAGTCCATCCAGACTATGAAGAAAAAGATAAAAAAATAGTAAAAAAATAGGAATAAATATTTACATATTTTTACACAGAAATTTAGAAATCTAATCATATACAGCCTTGTATCAGGACAGTCTTGTTACATTTTTTTCTTGTCTCTTGTTTTAATTTATTACCCTTTTTTATAAAAATAGAAATGTATAACACAATTAAAATGAAAGCAAGAGCTTGAGGATTAGACAGCTGAGAGAGGGCATGGAGAAAAGCTAGGAAACATGACAGGGACAAAGCTCTACATTTATATGCACAAGATGGCTGAGATAGTGATCCTGAGAATCTTCAGCATGCTTTGAAACTAGCAGTTGATTGGTACAATTCTCACCCTGACTAACTATATAATGCTGATACCTGTGAACTAAGCAACTGCACTGAAAATGGCAATGTGTAATGTTAGGGTCATGCTTGGAGTGCCTGTCAATCTGGTCTTCTGAATACGGGCTGCTTGTCATGTCATACCAATTAATGCCATACTGTTTCTCAAGTAAATGTTTAGCTAAACAAATATTGGGTATAGTAAAATGATCAGGGAGTTTACAAAAGATATTAATCATCTCACCAAGTAAAACAAAATGATATAAAATACAAATGATGATCAGTTTAGCAAACAATAAGAATCCATGAAAAGGTTACAAGCAGAAATCCAGGCAATTGAAAATTTTATTGTAAGTATGAGCAGTGGAAATGACCAATGAATGGACAGAGTGACACAATTAAAAGACAGGGTTGAGTGAAGCACATAGAATTCCAAATAGCTACAATCAGAAAAGAATAAGGTTCTACAATCTGAGGTACAGGATCTCAGGATAAATCCTGAGGGCATTTCACTGACCTTCTCAAACCAAAAAGCTACAACTCTTGTTGCATAGGTCCTGCTTTACCTTGGTCTTAACCATCCAGTAGAAAAGTATGAAGATGAAATATAGGAAGTAAAGCCATGTTGTTATGTTGAGCTGTGGGGGACTCACGTCAATAATTTCTGACATTGCCAATTAAACAGAAGACCCAATGCTATTATGGGCTTCTGTACTCTTTTAGAATATTTTGCTGAGTTTACACACCTATAATATTCAACAACGGAACTTAAAAAAAATTGGGGTATAACTATGAATGTCCATTTTGTATCTGTGTATTCAAAGTGGTTGGGATAGATATATAGTTGCATTCTCTTAATGAATAGAATGATTTTTTCTAATGGTGTTTGTAAGTAGGATCACAAGTCTGCATCTTGTACAGCAATTAACCACTAAGAAGAATATATGCAGTGTATTATTTGTTGAAACTGTACTTTCGATTTGATTTGAAACTGTCTCATTGCTATATGTTTATCAATAAAACTTTGAAAAGAAAAAAAAAGAATCTCTTTACAACACATCACATTCATAATTTCATGAGTTCAACACAAAATGAGAATCTTAAAAGTTGTTGGAGAAAACCATCAAATCACTTATAAACATAAGCTGATTAGAATTATAGCAGATTTCTCAACCTACACCCTTAAAGGCAGAAAAGTTTGGAGTGAAGTCTTGGAGTGAAGTGCCTCAAGCTCCCCTCAACACTCTTCTCCTAAAATATAGCCCACATGGATATAACCTACTAATGTATCTCTCATAATTGACAGATAAATAAAATCTTTTTATTATAAAGACAACATTTGGGATAACATTAAAAATTCATTACCACCAGTGTTATAAGTTCAACTAAATTCAGAAATTTTAAATATTTAAATATTGCCTACCTCTTTCTACTTTGAGAATTTTAATTATATGAATATAAGTTTCTTGATTTTGACACAATGAACTGTTATGTGACTGATCTGTAAATTCTTCTTCATTTTTATTTTGGACAATTTTTATTGTTATATTCATTTAAGGTTGTATAACTTATTTACAATGTGCAATCTATTATTAATCTCATGTGATGTATTCATTTCAGAAATATTACTCTGAAAATCACTCTGTCTATATCTTATATTTTTTTACATTTCATTATTGGTCTACAATTTTTAATATGATATGTAATTATCAATTTTCAATAAAGTTAATGAAAAAAATAAATTCATTATCACCAAACTAGAACTCCAAAAAATCCTCAAGGATATCTTAGAAAGAAACAATGAAGGTAACAATGTCAAAATGTTTAATAGAAAGAGTACCCCAGCCAGGATGAGCAGTAAAAGAGAAGGGAAGAAATGGAGAACCAGAAAAAGGAAAATAATACAATGATGGGAATAAATCAATATCTTTCAGTAATAACTCTCAATGTGAATGGTCTCAGTTTCTCAATCAAAAGTCACTGATTGGCTGAATGGATAAAGGAGGCCCATTGGTATAATGTGCACAAGAAACATATTTAAAGCAAAGAGAAAATCAGACTAAAAATAAAAGGATGGGAGATTATATTCCATGCAGTGGGAACCCTCAAACAAGCAGAGTAGTTGTCCTATTTCAAACAATGTGGATTTCATGCTAGAACGGATCCAAATTGAGCACCTTATAAATACCTGTTAAATTCATTTGTTCAAAAATATAGTTCAATTCTGACATTTATTTGTTGATTTCTGTATAGTGATCTGTTTGTTTGTGAAAGTAGGGTACTGAAGTCCCCCATTATGATTATGTTGATGTTTATCTGATCTTCTGTGTGTAGTACTGTTCTATGAAGTTCAGTACACTGGTGTTTGGTGTAAATATGTTTACAATATGTCCAACCCAACATCAATAGAATATTAATAGTCTTCTCAGGAACACGTGGGCTTTTCTAAAAAAAAATAGAGCTTGTATGAGACAATAGAGTCTGATGAAATGCAAAAGAATTAAAATCATCCCACATACATTATCAGATTATACCATAATTACATTAGGAATAAATGGTAAAAGAAACTACAGAAATTAAACGACAGAGATTATGTGAGCATATGAAAATTAAACAATATTTTCTCAAGTCATCAACGGGTCTCAGAAAAATTAAAGAAAAAAATTGACAGTCATTAGAATCAAATTATAATGTCCATAAAATGCTCCAGAATCTGCAGGATACTATGAAAATAGTTGTAGAAAGGAAATTTGTAGTTGCCAAGGTCAATATTAGAAAAACAAGGTGTGCATAAGTAAATAATTTTTAAAATCATTTTAATCAATTTAATTAATTAATTAATTAATTGGGTACAGATTCTCACTAAGCAACTCAGACTTGTAGTGATCCTCCTGTCTCAGCTTCCCAAGTGCTGGGATTATATACATGCACCACCATGCCCATTTTTGGTGGCTGGCACAGCGAGCCAGGGGGTGGGGGGTTCTGGGGCCAGCATAGCATGTGGTACCAGGGATCAAACCTGGGTCCTTGCACTCATAAGGCAAGCACTTGGACCACCAAGCTATATTCACAGCCCCAGTAAATATTTTAATCACCTCAAAGTCCTAGAAAAACAAAAACAATCCAAATCTGAAAGTAGCATAAAGAAAATTATTACTATGGCATTAATCAATGAAATTATTTGTGGACAAAGTGGTCCTCTAGAGAGAAGATCCAACAAATATTCCAAAAGACTCCAAGAATTAACAATTAAAATCATTAATATAGCAGAATACAAAATCAACACAGAAAAATCAATAATATTCTTGTACACCAACAACAAACTCACTGAGAAAGATGTTAAGAAAACAACACTATTCACAATAGCATCAAAAAATTAAGTACTTAAGAATCAGCCTAACCAAGGAAGCAAAAACTTCTACAATAAAAACTGCAGTACTCTGAAAAAAGGGAATTGAAAAGGAGATTAGAAAAACACAGACATATCCCTTGCCACTGAATCAATATAGCAAAAATGCAAAAGATGAAATGCAAAAGAAAACTGCTATACTTCTGAAAACTGCTATACAAATTTAATGCAATCCCAAACAAAAGTACCAACAGCATTTCTCACAGAACTAGAGAAATAATCCTTAATTTAATATGGAATAGAGTCTCAGAGTAGAGAAAATAATCCACAGCAACACAAATAAAATAGGAGACATTACAACTCTGGACTTCAAATTGTATAACAAAGCTAAAGGGAAAAAAAAGATACTGGCTCAAAACAGACGTGTGGATGGATGGGACAGAATAGAGGACATAAAGAGCAATCTTGCATATATGCAGATATCTGATCATCAACAAAGGGCCCAAAACATATACTTGAGAATAGATAAACTCATTAATAAATGGTACTGGAAAAACTGGCCAGCCACATGTGGAAGATTGACTCTAGACCCGTTATCTCTCGCCATTGTTAAGCAAAAATAAAAATGGATCAAATATATAAATATTAAAACAGAAATACACAATCTGTTGGACTATAAAATAGGAAGAACTCTTGAAGACATCAATGTGTGCAATGACTTTATGAGCAGAAGCTCAATTGGACAAGCATCAACAAAAAGAATCACATCAATTTAAAAATCTTTGGGACAGCAAAACAAAGAACCAATACCATAAAAAGTCAGCATAATAAATGGCCAATTTGTTTTGCTAGATACTCTTGATTGGGCTAATAGGTAGAATACATGAAGACTCACAAAACCTAGACATCCCCCCACAAATAAAACACTCAATAAAAAAACAGGCAAATCAAGTGAATATTCACGTCTCACAAGAAGTACAAATGGTCATAAATATATGAAAAACATCGACTTTGCTTGCTACTAGAGAAATGTAAATTAAGACAACGTTGAGATTCCATCTTACTCAGAGGAATAGTTATCATCAAGAAATGAAGTAATAAAAATGCTGATGAGGCTGCAGAAAAAAAAAAACCCCTAAAGCTAAGTGAAATAAATTAGGTGCAAGAGGTTACATATTGTATCATTTCTTTCATATGAGAAACAAACTATGCAGAAAGCCCTACATAAAAGATAAACAATAAGAAACAGAGAGGTAGAATTTATGGAAATGGGCAGGGGATCCAGAGATGTGAGAGAGGGAGGGAGAAGGGGAGTAAAAGCACACTGTGCACGGCTCTAGTCGTGCATGTGTGCTGATTCCTAATAATGAATACACTCATTATGCCTTGTGACATAACCTGTTCTTATATTACCTAAGCAAGAGTTCTTAGCATTTGCTCAGAAAGCAAACATTTTAATGAAATCACATTATCCTCACTATTGCTGTGGCCCGAAGAACATTCTGTGATACATGTCAAGCTTGCCCTTAGGAATTTTCTCTTCTTGTAATTTTCAGGGTCCCAGAATAATGATCAGTACATACAGTATTTTAATAATGGTTGCCTTTTATGTAATCCTAAGTATAACTGGGGGAAATCACCCTTTTTTTTGTGGAACTGGGGATTGAACTCAGGCCCTTGCGCTTGCTGGGGAAGCGCTTATTCTACTAAGCCATCTCCCCAGCCTGCCATTTTTTGTTTTTACTAATTATGTATTCACTTAGGCATTTACCTGTTCTATACTCTACTTGGGTATCTATTAGCAAATCATGTTCAAATTTGCAAATAAGACTTCCTTTTATTTCTATTCTTGCTGGGTTTTGTTTGTAGTAATACCACAATTTACCCAAAAATATAGGCTCATATCTTGGGGATTTGTTTTTGTCTGTGGGCATTTCTATGCTAAAAACCAAATGGTAGTCTCGGGCCTCCTACGGTGAACAGAATCTTGATTTTTGGCATTTGAGATCTTCCTATATTGCACTGATCCAAATTTCACTGTGGTCCAAGTTCATGCTGCTGTCCTGTGGGGAGAGACTTTGGGATGCTCCAAGAGCCTGTGCAAGTTTTCTATGTGACAATCTCTCTCTGAGCTCAAAGCTTTGATGTGGAGGGTGCAAGAGCATAACAGCGACCTCACTGTAGCAGTCCATGTTTTTCCTGTCTTACCTTCTTATCTACAAATGCCAGCATGCACTACTCATGAGTATGTCCCCAGGAGTCAGGAGTTCTGTGCAGAATCCAGTAGAGGTTCCAGGAAAAAATGAGAAGGGGATCTTCTTCTATTCAATCTGCTATCATAGTACAAATGTTTATTAAGAATAATATATAGCTGTAGACAGAGCCCTGAAGAAAAGACACAATGTCTGTACTTTTTTTTGAGTTTGCATTATAATGTATGTACGGTGCATCAATGTGTGTTCACATAAGATGAGAAGATGGAAGGTAAGAAATATACGTATAGTACTTCATAGGTGTTGTTGATACTTCACAGGAATAAATGCTCTTGATGCAAGAAAGGCCACTTTTGTGATTGGCAATACCTCTCATTTGGTAGGAAACTGAAATGTGCATAACATGGCATAGTTCCAGTAAGTCAATGTTATTATCACGAACTCCATGGAAAATGCAGGGTGGGTAATTTGCTTTAGCTACAAAGCCTGATCTCTGGGGAGAACACTGAGAAAGTATAGGTCTTCCCAATTTTAATCAGGTCCCTAGGATTTTATAACTCACAAAACCACTTGGGTCATATTAGCAGGTAATGGCTTGGGTATGACTCAATTCTACTTACCACCCCCAGGTCAGAGAGGAAACTGGGCAAAGCTATCGTCAGAAAATCTAATCTGTAATTCACAGCTTCTGAGAGGATTGGAGACTGAGGTCTATGTTCTGGATCCCTTAGCTCAAAATTCATCCAAAACCCAAACAATAACCACAGTAGAATTATTTCTTTTCTGGTCTGTTCATTTTTAAAATTAGTCCGAACGATTTGTCCCTCCAGAAGAGCAGGGAGGAGGAGTCAATAAGGTCCGGCCCTGAAGAACCAGTGCCAAAGGGTGAGTCTTGGACTGCAGTCTTCCACTGTTCATCTTGTAGACTTCATCTGTGGGTTCCAGTGAGCTCTTGAAATTGTTCATGTCCTGTCTGCTGAGACTTCACTGACCCTGAGTTGGGAGGGGAGTTTTCAAGACAGAAGTGGAGTGGAAATGCTGCAGAACCAGTGGTGTTCCTGGGCTTGCTAAATCTTATCCCCACAGAAAATGCTTTTCATTTTTTTTATATTTTATGTATTTGATACAGGATCTCAACATGCAGCTTAGACTTGTAGTGATCCTCTTGTTTCAGCCTCCCCAGTGCTGGAATTACAGATGTGTACCACCATGTCCGGTCTTGGTGGCCAGCTCGAGGCACCCAGGGTGGTTTGGCATGCTATGCAGTACCTGGAATTGAACCCAGGTCCTTGCTGTTGTGTAGGCAGGCACTTACACCACTGAGTTATATTTGTGACCCCTTGTATGTGCTTTTTTGCATTCATGTTTAATATTTTTTAAAAATGGAAAAAATGAAAGCAAAAGGGAGGGTGATCTCGAGCTCATCCTCCTGTTCAGGGTCTCAATCTCATTATGATGGAGTTTGGCAAAGAGAGCTCAGATCTTATTTTAATGCTGTTTTATTACTATTTCAACCTCACAGGTACATGCCAGGGAAGAATGGCTTCAGGCAATGGCTCTTCAGTGACTGAGTTTGTCCTGCTGGGTTTAACCCAACAGCCAGAGCTCCAGCTGCCTCTTTTCTTACTTTTCTTGGGAATCTATGTGGTCTCCATGCTGGGGAACCTGGGCTTGATGGCTCTAATTGGTCTGAACCCTCACCTACACACTCCTATGTACTACTTTCTCTTCAACCTTTCCTTCACTGACTTCTGCTACTCCTCTGTCATAACCCCTCAAATGCTGGTGAGTTTTGTAAAACAGAACATCATTACTTATGGTGAATGTATGGCTCAGCTCTTTTTCTTTGCTTTCTTTGTTATTAATGAGTGCTTTATTTTGACATCAATGGCCTATGACAGATATGTGGCCATTTGCAAGCCCCTGCTTTACAGAGTCACCATGTCCCATCAGGTCTGCCTCATGCTGATCGTGGGTGGGTACATGATAGGGTTTACCGGTGCCATGGCCCACACTGCCTGCATGCTGAGACTCAACTTCTGTGATAGCAATGTCATTAACCATTACATGTGTGACATACCTCCTCTCCTGAAGCTCTCCTGCACAAGTACTACCCTCAATGAGCTGGTGGTTTTCATTGTGGTGGGTGTCAGTATAATAGTGCCTAATCTCACAATCTTTATTTCTTATAGCTTGATCCTTTTCAACATATTTCTAATCCGTTCTACAAAGGGCAGGTCCAAAGCACTTAGTACTTGCAGTTCTCACATAATTGCTGTTTCTCTTTTTTTTGGATCAGCAGCATTCATGTATTTTAAATCTTCTCCTACTGGGTCTGAGGATGAAGATAAAGTATCTACAGTTTTTTATACCATTGTAGGGCCAATGATGAATCCTTTCATCTACAGTTTCAGGAACAAAGATGTTCAAATGGCACTGAATAAGACTTTGAAGAAAAAGATGCTCCCTTAATACAGTGGTGCCTTGGTTCATGGATTTAATTCTTTCTATGCTTCTGACCACAAACTGAAATGGGAAAGAACCAAATCAAATTCAATTGCTAGGCTCAGTGTTGAGCTTATGGGGAAAGTTGATTTTTTTTTATCCAATTCAGTTTGTGATGAGAATCATGGAAAGAATTCATTTTGAGAGCCAAGGTACCACCGTAGAAGTTATATTGGTCACAGATGGCAAATCCTAGTAAGACACATGATATATAAAGATATAAAGAGAAGAGTAAAAAGTGATGGCAAAATGAAAATAATTGAAACAATAGGGAAAATTTTTATAATTATAGAAATAACTCCACATCTATGGACAGTGTAAGGAAGGGGATGGTCAGTCTGTCACTGTTTCAGGGGTAAGAATAGTTCAGTCTGCTATTCTACAGCTATGTTCAGAAATTATGAAGTTTTCACAATATTTTTAGCAGCACAGTTTGTCATAGCTAAATCTTGGAAACAACCCAAATGCTCATCAACTGAGGAATGCATAAAATAGATGTGGTGTTTTTATACAATGGAGTATTACTTAGCTACAGAGAAAGACAAACTTGAAGCTTTGATAGGTACATGGATGCAACTAGAGGCTATTTTCAGCAGTGAAAGAAATCAGCTGCACATGTGTAAGCATTGCATTGCCTCCCTAGTAGAAGAACCTCAAGGAGCAATTAAAATCTGAAAGGTACACTAGATATAGCAAAAGGGAAGGAAACTGTGCAAAAGGAATAAGCAATTGGAATGAGGGAAAGGAGAAAAGAAAGGACAAAAAGTAAAGGAAAAAAATCATGCATGTACATACACAGGATAGCCAAGATGATGGTACTACTAATATCTATCAGTTTTTTGAAAGTAGCAATTAATGCTTAAAATTTTTACTTTGACCAATTTTACATGCTCACGTCTGGTATTCTGAGCAACTTCACTGCAGACAGCAATGCGCAATACAGCAACCACTGTTGAATCCCTATCATCTTGTTCGTTTTGTTTGAAATTTTGTATCATTTCTAATGCCTTGTCTATTATTTTTAAAAAAATAAAATAAAATAAATTACAAAGTTTTCAGAAAAAACAGCTGTGTGAAAATAAATCCATCAATAGTAAATTTATGAAAATTTAGACTCACACATAGAATTCCTGTGAAGCTGTGACAATTGACTTGGTGCATTCAGAGTCAGTCATTTGCGTATTCATTTACTAAACCTCTGGTGTGCATTGTTAGGGATTTTGTTTTGGGAAAGCCCTTTATTTCCTAAAAGGAGAGGCAGGGAGGGATGCTGTCCTCATTCAGGTCTCTGGTCCCATCTCTTTTTACTCTCAAGGGAATTTTGAGAAGGGAATGTGAAGATTTTATTCTGAGCCTAGTTCCTAAGGACAAGAAAGAGTAAAAACTGCATAGAGCAGTGGGATAAATAAATCCTATATTGAATTTTATCTCTTGGGCTTCAGAGGAAGGATGTGGGTACAAGGACAGGCTATGTTTTCACTGAAAAGAATTTTACTAAAAATGTTTATCAATTATTGGTTGAAGAATTTTTGTTCTTTCCTCAACAGGTTTTATAATACAGTTGGCAATATGCATTTCTCCTTTGTTATTTACATTCTTCTTTTTGTTTCAGAAGTTTGCATAGTGCTAGTAATGTGTTTATTCGATCAACAAATATAAACTGAACATCTATCCTATGCCAGCCTCTCATTTAAAAAATCAAATATGCAGTGACAAAGAAGACAGGAAATATGTGATCTCTCTTAGGGCAAATTGTATACAGCATGGTGAAAACAGGAAAAGAGCAGTGACCGGAAAAATGCAGATGAAGAGCAAAGAAACAAAGATAAGAAAATATGAGAAAAAGGCTAATTAGACTTAGGTTAAGGTGCACTAGCTGTGCACTTAGGTTAGGATGGGTGGTCAGGAAGAGCTTTCCAAAGGAGGTGATATGTGAGCTTCACTCTCACTGGAGAGAAGAAATCAACCCGGAGAGCATTCCAGGAAGAGGGAAGAGCTGGGCAGTCTCACAGGCGGTGACAATCCCTGTGAGTATGATGGACGAAAAGCAGGTCATTGGAGCTGTGGCGCAATCATTAGGAGACCTGTGTGGCATATAATTCAGATAGGAGAGCCAGGGCTTTATAATCCTTGGAAAAGAGTGTATATTATTTTAAGCACAGTAAAAGCAATCCACACGTTATCTGTCACACCTTAAATCTCTTCCCCTGTGCATGACAGGAGCTCGCTGTCATACAGGCTGTCCATGAACTTCTTCTTCTTCTTTTTTTTTTTTTTTTTTTTGTTTTTTGCGGAACTGGGGATTGAACTCAGAACCTTGCACTTGCCAGAGAAGCGCTTATTCCACTGAGCCATCTCCCAGCCTGTCCATGAACTTCTGAGCATAAGTGATCCACCTGACACAGCTTCCCAAATAGCACCTCCTACCATATTATGTAAAAGGTTCCAGGAGCAAGTTTTAATTAAATCCACAAACTAGTGTACCTTAAATAACAACAAGGCTGGGGAGATAGCTCAGTGAAATAAGTGCCTGCCTGGCAAGCACAAGGTCCTGAGTTCGATCGCTGGTACTGAATAAAACAGTTACAACAAACTGCAATGGCCTGTAGGAAGAATGTTTCTTTTGCTAATGTTCTGTGTCTGAGCAGTGAGTCAGAGGCTGCGGAGCGTCAGCTGAAACGGGAGCACGAGTTCTGAGGACGGGCCCTGGCTCTTGCCTTTTCACATTCTCTGCACAAACTTCCCACTGTGAGAAGACTGCTGGATTCGGAACCATGTGACCTGATTTGGTTCAAAATTTTGTAATTCTTATGTACTATCGCCTCTCAATTTCAGTGTCTTCACAAATACTGTAGCAAAATGCTGTGGGACACACAAAGTGAAGTGATGCAATATGAAAAATACTATCTAATTTTAATATGTTTTAAAAATCATATTCCAGGAAGTCTAAGGCACACAGTTCTTTTCATATGCATTTCTTTTGCTGGTTTCTGAACCTTATGTACAATGTGGCATGTCACCATTTCTGGTAGTTCTGACTTGTCATTGAAATACTTGTGCATACCTGATTAGAGTTTAGTACTTTCAGCTCTCACATAATTGCTGTTTCTCTTTATTTTTGGATCAGCAGCATTCATGTATTTTAAATCTTCTCCTACTGAATCTGAGGATGAAGATAAAGTATCCACAGTTTTTTATGCCATTGTAGGGCCAGTTCATTCTGTCACTCTAACTGAATCAGGTTCACTCATAAATAAATATATGTATAAAGTTCATTTCAATTTAAAATTATTTAGATTTTAATATATATTATACATAAACTTAATCCTATAATTTTTATAACTCCAATAATAGTTATCATATAATTAACACATGTACACAAATATGGAAATAAGAACAGTAGGTATAAATCTGGAAATAACTGAGTAAATATACATCATTTGTGGGTTGATTACAATTTTATATTTATCTGTTTATCTATTATAGAATAACACTCTCAAAATCATAAATGTCAAAATATGCACAAGTGGGTGAAGTTGGATCATATTTCAATACTGAGACAAAATAAAAATAATACCCTAAAATAGAAATTCAAAAGGGCAAGTGATCCTCATGTAATCGTGTGGTTGGCTGCCTGGTTTTTCTTTTCTCAGAGATACAAAACATTATAATGTCCTACCTTGGGAAAGATGATCTCAGAGTTTCCCCATAGTTCAATGTTATCTTCATTCTCTTTGGTTAACAATAATTGTCATGGCCTGACTTACACATGTTAAGTCCTAAAACCAAGTACTTCAGCAGGTGACTTTCTTAGAAGACAGGACTTCAAAGAGATGAATAGGTTAAACCAATGCCTTCAGAATGGGTCTCAATTCAATGTGAGAAATATCTTAAGAAGAAGAAAAATAGACACAGATACTAGTGTGCACACAGAAGAAAACTATGTGGAAACACAGTGGGAGGGAGGGAAACCATCTGCAAGCCAGAAAAACAGCCCTCAGAGAAAGATAAGCTGCCAGCACTTTGATGTTAGATTTTCTGACTCTGAAACTTTGAGGAAACAAATTTCTGTTTTGTACACATTCCAGCCCATGGTATTTTGACATAGTGGCCCTAGCAAACAAACATTGACTGAAACAAAGTAAACAAAAGAAAGCAAATACAAAATACAGGCAAAAAAGATAATCTTTGAGCAGTGAAATATCTTGGGGAAAAACTATTACTCTGGAGCATTAAGCCATAAAAGTACAAGTCCTTTAAAATAAAAGAGCATTCTGAAGTCATTTTCTTGAATTTTAACATATTAACAGTATTTACGGAAGAGGTGAAGAGTTTACTTCCCTCATTCTATGTAAATGTGTTGAATGTTTCAAAATTGTTATGAGTAAGTATTAAGCTACCAATAAGTGCAGACATTGAAATTAAACAATTCCGTTTAGAATTACGAAAAAATTTCAATACTTAAGTGTAGTCTTAACAAACATAAGTAGGGCCTGTATCCTGAATAT